CAAAAGAAAAGAGAACGGAAACGTGTCAAAGAGACAACAACCCGACAAAAAAGCAGAAAACAGCCCAAGGCCACAAATGGACTTCAACGAGCATGAAAGTCATACGCCAAAGTCAAATTACTTTTACCTTGACATTGACGCTTATGATAGTAGAACATTGTCCAATTCGTGTCTGCCTCATATCTTGTGTACCGTAAAACTTGGTATACAGTTGCATTATGGACAGGGTGTGTGTCATATACCAAAGTAAGGTCGATCCGACCTGTTACTCATATGATAGTAAAACCTCGTCTGATTTGTCTCCTGCGCATAACTTTTGTACCATAGAAATTAGGTTGACCAAACTTGGTATGCTGATACATCATTGGGTGGATGTGTGTCATATATCAAAGTCAGGTCAATATGACCTTGCATTTGATATTTGACCCCTATGAGAGTAAAACATTGTCTGATTTGTGATTTGTGCATAACTTTTGTACTGTAGCACTTATTAGATTGACAAAACTTGGTATGCATATGCATCATACTGACCTGGAATTTACAGTATACAAACCTCCGACTTTGTTCCTGGGTCAGTATAATTTTTTCAGATTGATCTATCAGTAACCATGTGTCAATGACAAGAGGCAATGATTTTATAAAATGAATGGCTGAAAATCGGAAATCTCGATACTGTATGTATGTATGCTTTTATGTACAAATTAGAGAATGGAAACGGGGAATGCGTCAAAGAGACAACCAGCCGACCAAAGAGCAGAAAACAGCACAAAGCCACCAATGAGTCTTCAACGCAGCAAGAAAGTTCCGCACCCGGAGGCGGGCTTCAGCGGGTCCCTAAACAATAATGTATACTAGTTCAGCGAAACTCTAAACTCCTAAACATACAAATAAACCAAAATTAAAAAAAACACACACAAAACTAACAAAGGCTAGAGGTTCCTGACTATATGTATCTATTCCGGACCATATGAGTATTTGGACCATACGCGTATGGTCATGACCATATGCATATACCCATATGGTTATTAACGGGCCGGACCATACGAGTATTTAGACCATATAGGTATTTCATCATTTATCTTGTCGACATTTTCGTCCGCAATTGAAACCACAAATTATTATTTCTGAAACAGAATTTCTTATAATCTCAACTTATATTCATTTGATTATTGTGTTCTTTCTCCTATTCGTACGATTTATATGTTATTATAAGTTCGTATAAATATGAACAAGAACACCTTTAATACCTAAAAACAATTTGAAATGTTTAAGAAATTTTAATTTAATAAAGACACCAAAGTAAATTATAAAAGAAAATAGGTTTCAATGGCCAAAGTTCCTGTGAGTTAAGCAATTGACTTCTTGATTAACAGTTCATTAAGATATTTCTTGAAGTTATTTTCATAAGTCGACATATTGCGTTTTGTACAAATGTGAAAAAAATAAATCAATAATAACCATTTATGAATGATTTTACTATAATTCTTACTTGTAAGTAAAATTCTTTTTAATTCATTTATCATCTTACAATGATTACAATACGATTGAATGAGTAAAATATTCATTTTTAGAAACTCTTAATTTATGGGACACCTTTTCAACGTTCATCGTGTTGTTTAATCGGACCATACGCGTATGGTCGGACCATATGAGTATATACCCATATGGTCAAAACCTTTATGTAATTTAGTAATTATCATTTTGAAAGAGCAGGCATTCCCTTTCTCGTATATTCTACCATACAACTAATATTATAGTTATTGTAGTATTCAATGTACTGATCGACTGACTGTCCGTGACTAAGGTGTCATTATGTGGTTAGATACTAGAACACAGACATACTACGCCGTTCAATAAACTTATAGAAAATGGATTGTCAATGAAGTAGAACTTGTTTAGAACTAATTACTGATATATTTTTTTCTAATACTATATACATTTGTTTGAAGTTTCATGGAAACAGCGAACTAACAACATTATTATTACTAAGGTGTGCTTTGGTATTGTTTCAGTTGTAATCCCCTTTAAATTGATGTACTTCTGAACAAACTCAACAGTATATCTAACAATATCTCAGAGCACCTGTTACATATAAAATAGAGTCGGTATAAAAACAGGACTCTGCTTTTTTACCCTTTGAATTACGGACCATCATGGCGCTCCTATCCGCCATTATTGTAACATTGACTGTGTTCATACACGGAAATGTTGCTGCACCAAGTAAGTCAGTGTAGTTAAATATGATACAATATCACTACCATTTATATAATTATTAATTTACTGAATACTTTAAATAATGAACAAATCATCTGAACACTTTCCGTTGTTTATCTTTTAATTTTGATATTTCTTGTATTTAATAACGAATATATTTTATCAAAATTTACGTTTTATATCACTTGTACAAATGTAATAAGATTGAAACCAATTCGGTTAATGTATTTATTATTAGAGATCTGGGCTCTCGATGATAAAACTATACTGAGAACTCGGAGTATCAAGTTTGTGCTCGAAACGCCAAATCCAGTCACACGATTGGATTTCGATTGGTTGAATTCTGAGCCAGATGTATGCGAAACTGATTTTGCGGACAATTTCGGACTGTGATTTGTTATATTTTATTTTGTGCTTTTATATTTACAATTGAGAAGATTTAACGTTAAAAAAATCAGTATGAATGGTCTTTAAGTATTAAAGAATTTTTATGGGATTGATGGTATCTCAACAGAATTGTATACCAGTTTAAACTTTGGGGATTGAGCGTGACTAAGTAACAAATGAATTTCAAAATAAAATAATAACAATGCGTAATTTTTGAAATAAGGCATATGGAATTTCTATACTATTTTCTACTACTAGGTAAATAGTAGAAAATGTATCAACATTTTTTATTACATTTATCAAAATATTTTCATAATTGTAAGTTTTTTTTATAAACGAAACTTATTAGTTCGACTCGCTAAAGAAATTAAAATAAAAGAAAATACTATGAATATCACCACAACTATTTTTTTTAATATGAAACGGATTGCGTTTATACATGTAGCACCTTTTGCTTGAACATAGATAAATCATATCAAGTAATATAATTTTATTTCATTTTCAGCACAAGTAACAGCCTGGGCATCATGGTCAAGTAAGTTACCATCTTATTTATATTTCTGACCAGGTTATATTCAAATTCAAATATTTTATTGGATAAAGTACATATAATAAATATGACATTCCGGAATCCAAGTGTACAACATGACATATACAATATGACAAATATTGTCAATAAAACATAATGCATAGTCAATTAAGATTGGAGTCGAGTGCACCTGCCTCGTGCGGGGTTCGAACTCACAACCTCGGTGTTGACTGGCTAGTGATACAATAGTTCGCCTACTAAGACCACTCTGCCACCGAGGCCCTCCCATTGAATATAGAAGGAAGATTTCTTCAACTTATTTAAATTCAAAAACTTTATAATGCAGAGAGAATGATAACACTAAGATACTCTTTGGGATGATAAAAATTGTTCATTTGAATGGCCCAGCCGGACACAACATGTTACAAATCTACGTCTGACTATCATAAGTTCATTCTGTCCATCCCGTCGTTTCGAAATTAAACAGTTGTCCGAATTTTATGTGTATACATGTACATATAGATATGACCTAATTCTTTGGTCTACAAGTGTAAAATGGCGAGTTGAAGATTGAGTTAAAGTTTGGTTTTCGGAATGACCCATACTTACACAATCGGGAGCAACTAGTAAATAAATAAACTGACAAGCTATGTTCAGCAAATATAATAAAAAGTTTACATCATCATATACAGATACGATTAGCCATGCAAATAACTTGCAGATGGCAGCCGCTTCTTTTATACTCTTATCCTACCCTATAGATTCAAAAGTATTTTTAGAACGGATAAACACGCCATTTTGAAACTATTACATTACAAAAGATAGTTCTGACTGGCTTCTAAATGAGGTTGCTAAGATTCTATAGGCTCGAATGAGTTATAAAATTTTGAACACGTTTCGTAGAGGAGACGAAATTGTATACGGAAGATCAGAATCCGAATCAGTATGGATAGTCGACACGATCGATGAATATAATACAATAGGGTCGCGTCAGATACACACTTTTCGATAATCACTGATAGTCAAAACTGACGCATTATTACGCATACTTTTTGCTTAATCGGCATGATGCACTATTTGTTTTTCACATTATTTCCTATGTATGATGTTAATACCACATCACCAGTCATTCATTTACATGTATATCAAACAAATTAAGGTATAAATCCCTCATTCGTGACCCCTAGAACTGATGGCGCTCATTTTTTTTTATGTTGCTATGGTCGCACTTTATGTCATTTTACTTATAAAAATGAACTCTTACTAAAAGTATCCGAAGAAAAACATAAAACATAAAACTGCTAAATACTTATGAAATAAAAAAATTTATCTTTTCCACTAAAAATCACGGTAGAACAAAAACAAAAGCTGACGTAAATGTATGATACTGCAAAGCACTCATACCTTTTTAGAAAGGTTAAACTTGTGTGAATTGATATCTTTACACATCATATATAAATAAGAAGATGTGGTATGAGTGCCAATGAGACAACTATCCATCCAAGTCACAATGTGTAAAAAGTAAACAATTTAGGTCAAATTACGGCCTTCAACACGGAGCCTTGGCTCACACCGAACAGCAAACTATTAAAGCCCCCAAAATGACTAGTGTAAAACCATTCAAAATATTATAGTCAATTTAATTCCATCAATTTAGAGATTCGTCGTTTCAAACATTTTCACTATAAGTTCTTTCAATTTCATTTATTTAAAAATCGAAGATGGATTGAGATTTTCTCCTGTCACGAATACAAATTTATAATATGGATGTTTCATCTAAAGATGTGATATACATGTCACATTTGTATTTATTTACATATGATTTTGAGTTTTGATTGATATTTTTTCTTTGTTATTGTTATAGGTTGGTCCTCTGGTGGCTCTCAAAGTAAGATAATCATTAACATATACACACAAATGTTTATTTGAGCAGTATTATATTCCAAAATATTAACAAAGAAACCTTTTTAATAATATAGAAAAAAAATTTTTTACAATCAAATACCATTACAATGTGGTTTTAAGATAAATCATTAACACTTATAGCTTTAGTCTTCCAATATTCCATCTGCTTTCGTTATGTTTTCGGAAATGTTTCCATGCATAACATCTATTCAAAATCTAATAGAAGTACAAATAATATTCAATTTATATATTTATTGAAAAATTGAATGCTTCTTTTTGTGAATATATTGGGATGAAAAAGCGTTGACCGAAGTACATTTTGTATGAAGCGCTTCATTCTGACAGTGTGCGCACGGTCAACGCTTTTTCAACCCTATAAAATTACTAAAAGAAGCATTCAATACTTATTATTACATTTTTTTTGCTAGAATCAGGAAACACGATTTCTATCAAGTTTTTCTTTTATTCATCTGTGCACTTTTTGTGGAAGCTCGTGTCATCATGAGTGTTACATTTCATTTTGAAATGAAGGTTAATTTCAGAATGACGCGAGATTGCTGTTAGTCAATCAAAATAACGTATTATAATGAAACATACATGTAATGTAATTATATACAATTTGTTCGTCTGTTTATTAAATCATGTATCAATTAATTTACTTTTTTATTTAGCACAGTATGGATACAGTAAGTACTTATATTTATCATCATGAACTTGCTTGAAATAGTTGCCACTGGACGTTAAGCAAACATCAACCAATCAATAATTCTCATACATGTATGACTGTGTATTGAGACTGAGATATGTACTGTATATAGTACAATAGCGAAAGATTACAAATGTATGGACTATAGATCAAACAAATTAGAAAAGACAACTTACATATAGAATGAGATTAATTTATCAGGCTTTATATTTTTGTTGTTGAAATTAAGATTAGATATAAGAAGATGTGGTATGAGTGCCAATAAGACAACTTTCCTTTCAAGTCACAATTTGTAAAAGTAAACCATTATAGGTCAAAGTACCGCCTTCAACACGGAGCCTTGGCTCACACCGAACAGCAAGCTATAAAGGGCCCCAAAAATGACTTATAAAAGGCCCCAAAGATTAGGTATACAATGACCTGGTGTCTATGTATCGAAGTCGTCTTAGTACCAGGACGTACATAAAAAGCATTTAAGGACGTATCTGAGTCCTACGTGGGTTTTATAAAACATGTCTCAACTAAAGATATTGCTCAGAATTTGTTTAGGACACCAATCTATGTGTCTTATGATGTTCCTAACTTTAGGATACAAATTTATGCTTTACGACTTTATCCAAAAGAATTTGTAGCTCGACATTTTTAAGGCCAGGACTCCATCTATTCATTTCCACACGTATATTGGTATTTAATTATAAGTGCATTACTCTGAATGCACGTGAAAGATGTATGATCTCTGTAAAGTACAATACTATTACACGTATATACTTATCTCACTTAAACATAAATAATAATTATTTGTATCGATAGTACAGTTATTGTCTCTTTTTCAATCATACCACATAATCTTATTCTTATTCTTATAAGATGTAAAAATAAAGAAGATGTCGTACGATTGCCAATGAGACAACTATATATATATACCCATGATCAAATGACGAGGATGTTAGTAACTATAGATCACCAATAATGAGTAATGCCCATACCGTATGTAGTAAGCTATAATCATGATAATAAATGGCCCCGAATAGACAAAATATAAAACAGTTCAAACAAAAAACCCAACGGCCTGATTTCTGAAAAAACGAAAAACAAATATGATAGACAGCGACCAACGTAAGCTAACGAGTAACACGCTCCTGACTTGGGACACACACATACATAATGTGGCGGGGTTAAGCATGTTTGTAAAATATTTTCACTAATTCGGTACAATTCCCATGTAAGACTTATAGTAAGACCGATGTGGTATACATTGTCTTACTCAAAACTCGTTCCAATATTTCATTTTGTTATTTTAACAGAAAACAAGCGTTGTACTGCCAATGCCGATGTTGTTTTCCTTTATGACGACTCTGCAAGTATCAGTAATAACAACCCAGCAAACTTTGGTTTGATGAAAAAGTTTATGAAGGATGTAGTTGATAAATTTACACTGGTTGGACCAACAGCAACACAATTTGGTGCTGTTTGCTTTGCCCAAGCACCTCGGAAACATTTTTATCTGAATAAATACGATACAAGTACTAAAATAAAGACTGGTATAGATGGTATCCTGCCTATTAGTGGGTTTGCTACCAGAACTGGACTTGGAATTCAGGTAATTTTAAACTAAACTTTTAAATTTAGTTGTTTTTACATATACGTTTTTGATAGTATCCTTACGAGAATTAAAACAAGGTTGGTGAAACCATTTGATTTGTTTCATGTTAAAGTGTTTTTTTAAGGATTTTTTTCTGATTATATTCTGTGTAGATACCATTAAATAATTGGATATCTTGCATTTATGCCTTATCCCATAAAAAACAAACTTAAAATAAATGAACAGAGTTCCAATGTCCCCCGCGTTGCACATATTTTATCTATCCAAGGTACAAGGGCAATAACTAAAAAAAGCACTTTTTTTTTTGTTTTTTAAAACTTTTTATTAATATCTTAAGAGAAATGAAGGCTTCACAGCAAATACAACTAAAATATATCACTCATAGAGTACAATGCATCTTTTGTTTCTTCCGTCATAAATAAATGATTGTTTATAGAACCAACAAAGAGCAAGGATCCATTTGAACTTAAAATAGCTGTTCAACATTAGAATGATTATAAATGCCTAGAATCTACTGGTTAAATACTTTATGTCTCTTCCTTTCATTTGTTTTCAATATTTAATATTTTATATTATGTATGTTAATTTATTTGTGAATTCCTTAGTACCATTATACTTTGGAACATTTATAGATTAAAATAGTTGTGACATACATACCATATTCCTAAATACGAGAACAAAACCTAACGTTACAATCTGAGTCGAATTTTGTTTATTTCTGAGAATCAATCGTTTCTGTTTTCTTTTCAATATTTTGTATTTTAGTTTGTATCGAAAAATATGTTCAAAACAGCGAATGGTGGAGGACGGTCAGGTGTAAGAAAACTAGTCATCGTACTGACTGATGGAAAGGGATCTGGTACCCCGACATCACAGGCAGCAGCTGCGGAACTAAGGGCCACTCACAGCGCCACCGTTATTGCTATTGGAGTTGGGTCAAGCATTAACTTGGATGAACTTAAACAGATAGCTTCACAGGAGAGCTTTGTTTTCACTACGGATGATTTTCAGCGATTGTCAACGATTATAGACGTCGTTGTTGCATCAGCTTGTCAAGGTAAGTGCTTTGATTTAATTAAATATTAATATCAGTGAGTCATAAAGTTAAACTACGTTAAATGCAAAATTTGTCTCATATAACATATATAAATGTATAAAAGTGTTAAATTACAAGTGTTGATGGTAACTTATTAAAAATAAAGAGCTGCGCCATAAGCAACTGGAAAACTGGAAAATCCTTCTTTTTTGAATAACATCCCATAACACGGAAACTTAAAATCCAAAATTTATAAAAATCGCAAGAGATCTTACGTCAATAGATATTTAAAATTCACCAAAGTTTCATGAAAATTGGTTAAAGCGTTTTTGAGTCATTGTCCGACATGTTGACGACGGACGGACAGACAGACCGACAACGGTATACCATAATACGTCCCATAAACGGGCGTACAACAAAACCCTTTGTTTTGTTACGATTTTACTTTTTGATCGAGTACCTATCACAGAGTGAACATATATAGTAATGTGTTCTCAAACTCTAAAGCAAATAGATGAATATTATTATTAAGAATTTCTTGTTGACAGGTTGTACTGGTGGGTCATCAGGACCACGAGGTCCAAGGGGACTACCTGGGGATCGAGGAGAACGTGGTAATCCAGGACGAGTTGGCGATCCAGGCATGAGAGGTATTTAATAGAAAATACAGAAAATGTCCACAAAAACTGACAATACACTCTTGTTTGTCTTTTGTTTTTTTTTTTTCATTTTTTGTCATGGCGTTGTCAGTGTATTTTCGACTTATGAGTTTATATGTCCCCTTGGTATATTTTGCCTCTCTTTTAGAAGAGTTCGAGCACATTAAACAAATCCCTACATGCATTTTAGGATTGATTATAGCAACGTACGTGATATATCTATCCCTTTTGAAAATCATTATTAGTTATAAATGTACCGTTCATTCATTGAAATCAGAATATTCACTGCGATAAATGTGCAATCCACATAAAAAGATATGTCATTAAACAATATCGTACCGTGCAAATTGTATTACTATATTTTATAAAAGATTACCTTTTCAATCTTCGTGATATTTCTAAGTTAAAATGACAAAATTTCCATGTCTTTTGTAATAGAGGATGTTTAATGCATCAAAATTATGATATAATATACTTAGATCGGTCTCTTTCGATAAAAGCACTGGAAAAGGTCGAATTTTTGGCGGGAAAAATAAGGTCACAACACATTATCAACTGAATGATATTGTAGTATACTTATAATGATTTTGAAAAAAAACTAATTTGTCAAGATCTTTTTAAAAAATTTATTGAGAAATGGTAGGGGTTGTTAGGCAAAGTATTTGTATCCATTACCTAGTAAAAAAGAAATTATAAAATATCACAAACGCTTGGAGATATTCAGGGTAGTAAGACAGGGGGATTCTATCAGTCCCAATCTTTTCAATATTTGTATTAATGACTTGGAGCAAGCCACAACAACTGAAGACTCCAAGTGTAGATTGCATGGGTATGTATATTAAAACTGACACAAATTCTAATAAATAACATTAAACTTGTAGGAGACAAGGGAATGAAAGGTATCACTGGCAATAAGGGAATGAATGGTGACAAAGGAGCACCCGGAAAACCTGGAAATAATGGGAAACCAGGAGAACCAGGCCCAGATGGCCCTCCTGGATACAAAGGTGAACCTGGAGATCAAGGAGCACCTGGAAAAAATGGCGCGCAAGGTTTGTATGTTTTGAAACAATGAAAATAGGACTAAAATTGTACACGAAAATCGAGTTGGTAAGCATTACGGAAATAGGACGTAAAGTTCATCAAGACGATATGATAAACATGGCATGATCAGATATATTTACGTCGTGGTTTTTGTTGTTGTACACAACGTTTTCCAACTTAAACTTAATGATTATTGATAGTCTGCGTGACTAAACCCGGCGTGTATAAAAATGAACTAAAATGAGATAAAAACGTCCAAAATGGTAAATTGAGGACAGTTGGACAGCAACTTTTTTTTATCGAACGACATATAAAACCAAGACATTCTAGTGCCAAGCTCTAAATTGCCCCAAACCAGAACGGTGAGAATACAGTCATCGCAGGCTATCAATAATCTACCATTTATACCAACTCTACAAATGGCAAAAAAAATTACGGTATAACAAAAAACAACTACTGACAAGATGCCCACCTTGCAGAAGTGCATTCTCGTATTTTATTAATGTGCAAATACACAATATTTGCCTGAGAACGTTTGAACGGGCACACTATCTGGTAATATTGATTTTAAGTCAGACAGTGAGATTTCAATTGTATAGATGCTGTGTATAATTTTGTTCTGTGCTGCCATTTCTAACGTAGTTTCAAATCTCAAATGAATCTAACTGAATACTAGAAAAAACAATACTTTTCTGCTTTTCTGTTGCAAATAAAGCTGAAATTTGATATTTTATGTCGAACCTTAATAATTGGGCCTTCTACTAAGTTAAAAAAAAAATCTCACTGGACGTTCTAATTCATGTTGCGATTTGATTTTTTGAGCATGGGAATTATAAATTTCCGTTTGTTGCTTATATAATGTGCTTCTGTTTTTGTCTAGAATAATTTTCGGTATTTTATTTAATTGTTCATTTCACCAGGTAATCAAGGGCCACGTGGACAACCAGGGGAAAAAGGAAAAAAGGGAGAAAAGGGAATGACAGGAGATATGGGTCTAAAAGGCGAAAGAGGTCCCGATGGAGAAAAAGGACTACAAGGAAATAGAGGAGAACGGGGAGATGCAGGAAATCAAGGAGAAACTGGTGATGAAGGACCATCAGGCCCTGATGGAGATAAAGGAATGAAAGGAGAAAAAGGCGCTGACGGTGATAAAGGAGAACAAGGTGACAAAGGAGATACTGGCAAGACAGGAGAACAAGGAGATAAAGGCGACAAAGGGGAAAAGGGAGCTACTGGAGAAAAGGGAGACAAAGGAATTCAAGGTACTTTAAGGCTATGATTTTTCTGGAATCGGACGATGTTTTATTAGTCACGAAATCGATGAGTTGAAAACCCTGGTTCAATGGGACAGTTGTTTTTTTTAAGTGGGACTATAAGTCGATCGCCAATAGTTCCCACAAAGACCGCTTTAAAGATTATAATCCAAGGTTATTATACGTATCAATTGACCGTGATTTATTACTCTTTTTTGTTTATAATTAAGTATTTTTGTTATTACTTATTTTCGCCGCGATATTCTTGTGCCGATGAATTGTAAAGCAAACAATAATCAATCAATCAATATTCCTTATCTCTTTGAAAATGTTCAAAACGTATGAAAATGTTTTGTTTTATTTTGAAAGGGGGAAAAAGGAGGGGGTTCTTTTAATGGGAAAAATATGTTTTGGCTAAAACGCGTCTTAATTGTTTTTTTTTTATTTTACTTAATGAAAGCATTCATTTAGATTATGATTAAAGTTATCTTTCAAGTCGAAGCTACTTGGCTTGCTTATTACCTGTTATTATAATAGAATGATTACAATGCAAAAACTTCACCTCTTTTTCGTTTTTGCTGCATACATTTTTGAGTCATTATTTTGTCACCAACCTTCACTTTACAGAATTATTTTTTTTTATAAATCCAAATAAATGTATGTTATGCAGCCCTTTATTATAGTTACAATCGTAACTTAATTTTTTTTTAGTTCACAGTTGTAAAAGAAACAAAGTGAATGCTTATTTATAAATAATTTAAATATACTGTAAAAGCAGAAATTTTTTTGAAGGATTTAATTTCGTTTATTTCGTGGAAAGAATATATCCACGAAATTAAAACCCCCGCGAAAATTTAACCTACATATAATATCACTTCCATTTACTGGAAACCACGAAATTAAATTCCCATGAAATCTTATAAAGAGACAAAACCACGAAATTTTAACCCCACGAAAATTAATGTTTCTACAGTATATAAAACATTGTAACATAAAATAAAATACACACGAAGAGAATTCTATTTGTAATTGATATGAAAAGTTAATTATAATAAAACAAAACTTTACTTTTCTAAATATTAAAAGGTGAACAGGGTGAAAAGGGTTCATCAGGTGACACAGGGAACAAAGGCGACACTGGTTCCCAAGGAGAACAAGGCAGTAAAGGAGCTAAAGGTGCCAAGGGAGAGAACGGTGAACAGGGAATGAAAGGACAGAAAGGTAACCAAGGACCTGATGGAATGATGGGTAACAAGGGAATGAAAGGAGACAAGGGAGATAAAGGGGAGAAAGGACTTAAAGGAGAGAGAGGTGACCAAGGACCGGATGGAATGCCGGGACAAAAAGGACCACGGGGGTCACAAGGAATGGTAGGAGAACCAGGAAAACAGGGTTCAAATGGTGACCAAGGAGACAAGGGAAGCAAAGGTATACTTCACAAAGTTTTGCGAGATTTTTATAATTGCGAAAATTGCGACGGGATAAGAATCGCAAAAAATAAAATTCGCATTCCTGATATAGTTATAATTAGATCTCGCATTGTTGTCCAACAATCGCAAACATTTCTAAATTTTCAGTAGTCAACTGGCATGATTAAAACGTCCTTGTGATTAAATAGACTTTAAAATAAATTATGCATGATAGAAAAATTTCCATTAGTAATTAAATTTTCGACAAGAAGTGTAACTTTCTACGGGTTAACAAGTGCACATGTTTTCATTTTTGATTAGCAATGTGAAGATTGTTGCTATTTGTTTTTGTATCCTTAAATTACATGCATGGTGCTGCTTACTACCTATATGTATGTACCTTGTTCAACGTATATAATACATTTCAAAATGTACGAGAAACGTAGGCATCGACGAAAGATAGAATGTAAACGAACAAACAAAATTACACGAACACATTTGAGTTATGAAAGATGGGTTTTTTATTCATATTGATATTCTTACATTGTATTTCATACAGAACTTTCACTAATATAGGGTTTAGTAGAATGGGAATACAAATACTATCCAATAAATTGCGATTGTCTTTTTTAAAATGTTACAAATATCATAATAAGGAGATGTGGTATGATTGGCAATAGGACAACTATCCGCTAAAGTACAAATGAAGTGGATGTAAGCAACTAGGTCACAGTACGGCCTTCAACAATGCGAAAACCCATACCGAATAGTCGGGTATAAAGGGTCCCGACATGAAAAATGTGAAACAATTCAAACGACAAAACAATTGAAGAAAAGTTTGCAATACCATTTAGGTGAAACTGGAATGAAAGGAGAAAAAGGCGACACAGGGGCAACCGGTCAACAAGGTGCAAAGGGCGTACAAGGTGATGCAGGAGAACAAGGAGAGAAAGGCGGCCAAGGTTCAAAAGGAGAAAATGGCGACAAAGGACAGCCGGGTTCTACTGGTGAAACGGGTGACAAAGGACCACAAGGAGACAAAGGCATGAAAGGCGACAAGGGAGGTCAAGGTCCCCAAGGAATCCGTGGTAACAAAGGTGACAAGGGAATGCAAGGAAACAAGGGCCCTGACGGAAATACGGGACCGCAAGGTTCAACAGGTATGCCTGGGGACAAAGGACAACCTGGTGATAAAGGGATTTCTGGAAACGCTGGAAATCCAGGTAACCAAGGACCTGTTGGTGCCCCAGGACCAAGAGGATCGAAAGGGGAAACTGGACCAATAGGACAGAAAGGGGCTGGAGGTAACGTTTTATGAATATGGTTAAACATTTTATTTTTTTCAATCCTTGCAGTAGACTACGGTGTCATCTTTAGATGTCTACAATGTATTTATATGCTCAAATTTTCATTTTGAATAACGTTATAAATTTATATTAATATATAATGCATTAACCATGAATATTGCAACTGTTTATAATCGGGGCTCCATATGTTTACATATTATTTTACGCATAAGAAATTACGTTCCAAACATTTAGAGTATGTTTATGTATATGATTTATTGATGTAGGTCAAAAGGGTGAAAAGGGAATGAAAGGAGAAAAGGGGGACAAAGGTGAAAAAGGTGACAAAGGAAATTCGGGTTCTGATGGAATAAAAGGTAAGCAATATTGATAGTAAAATAAACGTCGTTTTTTTCTACTAAAAGCAAAACAAATACCCAAAGATAGATAAAATACAATTGGCTAAACAATCAAAATGTGAACATTAAATTACGATTATTTTTCCATATGCCTTTTGCTTAAATGAAGGTGCAGTATTAGTGAGTATTCAATTGAGCTTTTTTACAACATGTATCATGAGTCATTCCCATTCGTCTCAATTTGTAATTTGTCCTTTTATTTTAACAAAAGTTCCGGTAAGTTTTACACGCCTACATAGGTAGATAAAAAGTTAAATCACAAAAATACTGAACTCCGAGGAAAATTCAAAACGGAAAGTCCTTAATCAAATGGCAAAATCAAAAGCACATACACATCAAACGAATGGACAACAACTGTCATATTCCTGACTTGGTACAGGCATTTTCTTATGTAGAAAATGGTGGATTGAACCTGGTTTTATAGCGCTAAACCTCTCACTTGTATGACAGTCGCATCAAATGCCATTATATTGACAACGATGCGTGAATAAAACAAACAGACATAAAAGGTAAAATGTCAAAATAGGGGTACAGCAGTCAACACCGTGTCACAATCTTCATCACAACAAAAACAAACAAATATTTAACAAAGAAGTATAAAAAACATATATCACATTTAACAACCTCGTTCATTGCTTACTTATTTTTGTATTTTATTTATGTATGCCAAATCAACCCATAAAGGACCGAATCGTAATTTTAACATTAACTCTGGCGTAGAATCGCGTGTTTGAAGTCAGAATGTAAACGTCAGACAGGTAGAGATAAAATAATTTTGTCGTTCAAAGTATGCAAAAATTATAATAGAACAATAACACAATGGCGGGATGTTTAAAGTACACGTCATATGTATCAAAGAAACATATAAAGTCACACGGACAAAGCACATTAGTAAAAATGAAAAATAATACAAACAACACAATGACGGGATGCATAAGTACAGAGCCACGTCAAATGTATATCACCAAAAACAGACCAAACAATAAAAGTAATATTAATAAAGACAAATAAAAGAACACTTTAACACGTTATTAAGATAATAAACAGCGTCAGTACCCAGAATCTACACTTCAAGACCATCATGTATTATTTGTGAAGTTGATACGGAATATTTATCAGCAAGGTCTTGGTACCTTCCGAAGAACATTATTAGAAAAAGGATCGACGAGACGTTTTTTGACATACCCCTGGTTCATCAACTTTCTGCTCAGACACTGGTGACGTTTTACAAAGTCTGAGTAGGAGCTGCAAGCTCTTACATACCGAATAAGTTGGGAAATGTATATCCCATATGCAGGTGAAGTTGGTATATTGCTACTAAGGTGGGGGAAATTGATAATTTTAAAATTAAAATCGCCTCGTTTGTCGAGATAAAATTATCTTATCGTTTGGATTATTTTACATAAACTACATGTATATATATGTAGGAGCATGTTCTGGACATAAATGTCTGGACTTTTAACGTATGTAACCAAAATGTCAATGAAATGTGTTAGGGTATGCATAAAACATTAGGACAGGAAAGGGCATGAAACACAAACACAGCTTTTTGTGTAGACTGACAAATGGAATCTGATGCCTCGGCTAGAAACTGATTTTAAAAAGTTTAGATGCATTTCTTTTTGTTAGTTCTTTAATATGAACCAATAACACGATCACGCATATTTCGAATACTAGGTTTTACTGGGCTCCAAGGTCCTATAGGCCATCAAGGCTTATACGGAATGAAAGGAAAACGTGGCAAAAAGGGACCACAAGGTGTGAAAGGAGATGATGGAATGAAAGGGCCAGTTGGAGACCAGGGACCAGTAGGCGAGAAGGGCGAGACAGGCGATAAAGGAGCTACAGGTGAAGATGGAGCCCAAGGACATAAGGGACTTGTAGGAGACGTTGGACCCCAGGGACCACAGGGTGAAAAAGGAGCGCCTGGTAAGGAAACATTAATCCTTTCAAAGTTATTCCTGCTGTTGATAATGAACTTGTTTCGGATTAAAATGTTTGTTCTTTACTAAAATTTGAATACAAGTAAAGATCTGACAAGTAATATTTTTAGTGTGTATAGGAATTTGAATCAACAAGAAACCTAACACATTTGATTCCTCGTAATACACATCAGTACATTTGTTAAATCTATTAAATATTTGAAACTTCTCTTTAATCTCTTCTGAATGTTATATTATACCCAATGAAATATATCAAACTTTTCTTGACTCTCTTCTGAATGTTACAGTGTATTTAAAAAATATATATACCAAACTCTTCTTGACTTTCTTCTGAACGTTACAATGTACTAAAAAATGCACCAACATTAAAATATGCATGTACATTTACTTTAAGCACTTTAAGCAATTACTTGTAAAGATCATATTATGAAAATGACAATATATTCAAAGTAACTTGGCTAAATGAATAACTACAATGTATTTTGATAAACGTATCTTAAGTTTATTTTTCTTTCCAGGTAACCAAGGAGTTCATGGAGATCCAGGTAAACCAATCAAGAAAGCATATACACATTCTTGTAATTTAAATTAATGATTAATTGCAATAACATTAAACAGTGCCAATTATAGTGCACCAGATGTGCATTTCGACAATTAATGTATCTTCAGATGTAACAATTCAATCAAATATTAATGTTAAAAAAATCAGAAATACAGGAAAAACACTGAGCCCATGTAAAAAAGAACGTCACATATGTAATGAATACTAAAATTCAATGCCTTACTTGGCTATGGTATCCAATGGTAACACTATTCTAAATGTTTAAAGGGGCATTAGCTACGAGATATAAAAAAAAAATAAAATATGATTTTTTTTTTGTTCAAAGATTAATGAAAGTGAATTAGATAAATAATAATTCGCTTTTAACAGCCAATTTGGTTCAGTTTTGTCAAATAAAGCAAAGAAACATCGCTAATGACCAATTCGACCTCATTGAATCCGTATTCATGTGAACTTTAGTTGACCCCTATAAGAATTTGAGTCAAATCGGTGAATATGAATTTGACAGATCATACCCTTTTAATATACATTTTGGATTTATTTACATGTATATGGAGAATAAACAAACAGAGGTGTCACGAAATCAAATTTGTAAATGTATTAAAACACATTTTGATCTCGTTCTGACTGCAGGAAATATTTAGCACTGGACGTTAGCAAACAACGATCAATCTATCAATCAAATGTCACGCTGATAGATTTTCAGACCGACACGAAAATTATGATAAAGTTTAAACAAAACATAGTATAACCCATACCATTAAGGCAAACATACCTCTATAGTGTATCGAGACAGCAAAAGAGCAAAAAATGTGTATCATATCACACATGTATTTTACTTCTACACGCCTGTCTGAAATTACACAGTAAAATTAAAATTGAGAATGTAAATGGGGAATGTGTCAAAGAGACAACAACCCGACCAAAGAGCATAAAACAGCCCAAGGCCACCAATGGGTCTTCATCACAGCGAGAATATCCCGCACCCGTAGGCGGGCTTCAGCTGGCCCCTAAACAAAAGTGTACTAGTTCAGTGAAATGGACGTAACACTAAACTCCAAAACATATAAATGAACTAAAGTTAAAAAGAAAGACTTAACAAAGGCCAGAGGCGAGGTTAAACGTGTGTTGTGAGACATCAACCGTCCCCTATAGATCTAGCCAATGTAGAATAAACAAACACACAGCAGTGTATATATGGCATATATTTAGAATGCAATAACAACTACATGTTTGAATATAAAAACTTCTTATTTTTAATTATAAAATCTTAAAGGGAAGAGAGGTGAACAAGGAATGAAGGGAGAAAAGGGGGATACTGGACTACCTGGTATTCACGGACCGCAAGGAGCAATCGGAGAAAAAGGTAAATAAGAAAGATAAATATGCTTACTACGATTGCAAGAAATATAAAATGTCCTGTTAAACTATAGAAAGACTACACAATAAACAAAAAAATACTTTGTTATGGAAGTAAGGGACTATTAAGTATCAATGTTTTATGTGGTCAGATTTCCTAACACTTCATAAATACCAGTATATTCGTAAAAAAGGCCAAAGTAAAACACTAAGTTGATTTCTTTAATTCTTTGTGCAGTTGAACCGATAACTTGAGTTCTACTAAGTAATGACAGATAAACAACAATTCCTTGATTGTTTGGAAAAAAACTTGTTACCTAAACGAATTTCAAATTCTACAGTTCCTTATGTCTAACAAATTTGTCTTTTTCATTATTGTTAATAACCGACACATGTATATTATTAAGGCCAGGACGGCGAAAAAGGTGACAAAGGCTTAACGGGTGATGATGGACTACCAGGTAGTGAGGGACCAAAAGGAGAAAACGGTAATAAAGGGGAAACTGGGGTTAAAGGAGCCCGAGGTGATGTTGGTCCACAAGGTCTTCCTGGCAAAAATGGCAATAAAGGCATGGACGGAAAGAAAGGACCTGATGGCAAACAAGGAACACAAGGAGACAAAGGTCAGTTATCTATCTGGTGAACTATCAATCCCCGAGGGTATCATCAGCCCAGTAGTCAGTACTTCGGTACTGACATGATTTATAACAAACCTTTCTAAAATTGCCCGTTAATAAATTTTGAAATTATTAGAAACTAAGATTCCAACTCCCTCACACAAAGTTGACCATAGATGGATTTGGCTATTTTTAAGGTCCTTTTTGGTAATATAGGTCTTCAACTGTTCTGTTTCTTATACATCCTTAGCTTTCAAATATTCGGCTTTGAGCATTTCTGATGATGGTAAATCCAGAAAAGCGCTTTGGACGCATGAAATTTATAACGTTTTGTTTTCTTTTTTATCTTAAAAAGTCCTTCTTAATAAGTTCAATTATGGTAGACGAAAGATTGGCTAAAACAAGAAATTAAGATCACATATTGAATATCACACTCCTATTTACCCTTACTGTATATCTTGCATGTATCGTTCTCTGAAACTTTAACTTTTATACATGACCAGAATTATTCCTTCAACGTACAGTACTTAACCTTAAATTGATATGTAACCCAATTTTTCGGGGTCTCCACAATTATTAAGATAATTTGTTTTCCAGATTCAATTTTGTTCATAACATTTGTTATTTACAAATTCATTTAAATGTTTCAGGAATCATTGGAGAACAAGGACCACAAGGTCAAAAAGGTCACAAAGGAGCTAAAGGTGACGATGGGCCACACGGAGATCAAGGTCTTCGAGGTCCTCAGGGACCAGAAGGAGACAAAGGAGATAAAGGTTAGTTCTTCATGTGACAGGTATATTATACTATAACAAACTAATACATGTACGAGGAGATGTGGCGCATACAATACGCATGAGACAGCAACCAAACAACACAAACGAAATTAAAGATCTTGAAGCGATCAATCAATCAAGATCAATTTGAAACATTTTGAGATGACCAATAAGATTTTTTTTATAAATTATACACAAGTATACTCAATAAAAAATATTATAACTGGAAGCCACATTGCTATGATTAGATATAAGAAGATGTGGTATGAGTGCCAATGAGAAAACTCTCCATCCAAGTCACAATTTGTAAAAGTAAACCATTATAGGTCAAAGTACGGCCTTCAACACTGAGCCTTGGCTCACACCGAACAGCAAGCTATAAAGGGCCCCAATATATTGCATAGAAACACTAAAATGTTCCCCTTTTAATGAATTTACTGATAGCTGCATCAGATTGTTGCTTTCTACTGAAAGATTATACAATATAAATAAGATGTTGTATGAGTGTAAATGAGACAACTCTCAATCCAAGTCACAATGTATAAAAAAGTAGACAATTATAGGTCAAAGTACGGCCTTCAACACGGAGCTTTGTCTAACACCCAACAGCAAGCTATAAAGGGCCCCAAAATGACTAGTGTAAAACTATTCAAACAGGAAAACCAACGGTCTAATCTATATAAAAAACAAGAATCGAGAAACACTTATGAACCACACCAACAAACGACAACCACTGAACAACAAGCTCCTGACTTAGGACAGTTGCATACATGCAGCGGGTTTAAACGTGGTTATATTACTAGTTTTGTTATTTTGTTAGAATATATTTCAAATCTTGTACTTGTGCTTCACTTTCGGAAACAATTCACTCTTTGAGTTTTTTAAGAATACTGTTTATTTTTCACAGGTGAACAAGGTATGAAAGGCCCACAGGGTAATCCAGGTACAAATGGAAAGATTGGTGCTCAGGGCAGAAAGGGAGAGAAGGGCATTCCTGGTGACCAAGGTATTCCTGGAAACCAAGGTCCTGTAGGCAAACCTGGTCCTCGAGGAAATAAGGGTATGCAAGGAGATAAGGGTGATCCTGGAGATAAAGGAGACAAGGGCTTACAAGGAGACAAAGGTCTAACTGGAAACAAGGGACCAAATGGTGATAAGGGAGATAGTGGTGATAAGGGACCACAAGGGGATAACGGAAAGACAGGCAAAGATGGAGAGACGGGAGAAAAGGGAGATAAGGGAATGCATGGAGACAAAGGCATGAAAGGAGAAACGGGAAATAAGGGCGCAACTGGAAATAAAGGAATGAAAGGAGACAAAGGCGACAAAGGACCAGATGGAGACAAAGGAGAACAAGGTCTGAAAGGATCAGATGGTGACAAAGGATCTAAAGGCGCAACAGGAGATAAAGGAGCAAAGGGCGATAAAGGAATGCAAGGAAAACAAGGAGAGCAAGGACTCAAAGGCGATAAGGGTAGGTTTGTCTTTGCACACGTTATATGATTTTGTGTTTTTCATGTAACAATAATAAAAACAAGGAAAACAAGTTGTACTATTTGTTAAAAATTAAAAATTCTTTTGGAAGATTTTGTTAATAAAAAAAATCACATGCGCTGAATGCTGACAATAACTTATACTATTGTTTCCAAAAGTGATTAAATAAAGATGTGACTAGAATAAAAAAAAAATGGAAGTTCAGCTTTTCATTTAAATATCATAGACAAAAAGGATCAGGAGTGGGGCGCCGATATTCGCCGTAGAAACAGTCCATTTTCACCTACGGCTAATATACATTCAAATTTCGGCAACTTATTATGATTCCAAAAGTTAACTATAAAACTAACACGTCAGATGAAGGAGGCTCCATTTCTTTTTAGGTCTACAGATTAACGCCACTTGAGAAGAAATCGAGTATTCTAAATACGTAGTATAAGTATGCCTTTAGTACAAAACAGTCAAAGCCTATCGCGTTCAAAACGGCTTTGATATATGTTTGATTGGTCTACTGTTAACCTCATGTAAAACATAAATTGCTTATCCGCGAAGTAAATACATTTTATTTTATTTAGAGAAAAGGAGTAGGAGTAGAAAATGTCATTATTATGTGTTCAACCTTATATATGTCTGCGTTCTGCATAGTGTAATATTTACATAAATGCTTATGAAATATTCTTGCAAAAAAAAAAAGGTCAATCTGGAAAAGATGGTAAAGATGGAATGACGGGAGAAAAGGGTGCAAAGGGAGATAACGGAGACAAGGGACACATTGGAGAAAAAGGAAATAAAGGAGAACATGGAGAGAAGGGAGAAAAAGGAGACAAGGGCGAAACTGGTCACAAAGGAGCACATGGAAAGAATGGTGTGTAGCAATTCAAGACAGTTTGTTTGTATTGAAGTTTAAATTGAATTTTTGTATTGTGTTGTTTTTGTATAATTGTAAACAAAAAACAATATAATCTCTCCTTAAGATAAAAGTTTCACTCTATTTACTAAGGTATTTAAATGAATGCATATATGGTTATTTTCTGTTCAAAAGTAACGGGTGCAAATGTATCGCAAATGAAAAAAAAAAAAAAAAAGAGGAAGAAGATTCCAAAGGGAGTTTCAAAACTCATAAGTGAAGGTGAGACCGACAAACTCATGTCAAATATGTAAAACGACGAAAAGACATTGAACAACAGTCTACAAAATACTACATACAAATTAAAATCTGAACAACATGTGACATGCAGAGGCGGATTTAAGGGGGGCAGGGTATCCGCCCCACCCCCTTTTGTGGGAAAAATTTGGTTGATTATTTAGGGAATCACTGAAGCATGACTTAGCGGGCCCCCTTTTATGGCAGTTAGTGCCCCCTTCCCCTTATGAAAATTTCTGGATCCGCCACGGACATGGAACTTCAAGGGTAAGCAGATCGTGCTCCACATGTGCCACCCAGGAATGAGTTTTTTTTTGTCACATTAAAATTATACTGATAAAGTTGAAATAGCTGTTTAACATTGTAACCTTTGTAGAACAAGGCTTCATCTTGTATTATTCTAACGTCTGGGTTATAGGTAAAGATGGTGAAAAAGGAGACAAAGGCGACAAAGGTGACAAGGGAGACAAAGGTGTCAAAGGAATGAAAGGTCATCAAGGTGAGAAGGGTGACAAAGGAATCAAAGGAGCTGTTGGAGACCAAGGCGAGCGTGGCGAGAAGGGTGCATCGGGTGACAAAGGGGAAAAAGGTGACAAAGGACAAACAGGTGATAGAGGAAATAAAGGATACAAGGGAGATAAGGGTGTACGCGGAGACAAAGGACCAACGGGAGATAGAGGACTTATGGGTAATTAGCTACTGAATAATATAGTCGTTTTGTTAATTAGTTATCAAATTTTCATAAAAAAGATAATTCTAAATTATTAATATATTATTGTTTTATATAAAGTTTTTTGTATTTCATGCTTGCAACTTGCAACATATAACTCTAATTTTGAACAGTTTAAAGACTTTTCACGAAATGTCACTATCTATTTTTTCAAATATGATTTGTGCACTTACAATTTTATAACACATTCGTTTACAGGTTTCATCAAAGTCATATGGTCTGGTTATGGATGGACAATGAAACCATTCGGTATGTAAATTTAACATTACTGTAAAATGGCTTGTTTTTGAAAATATAGTCTTTGTATGATACGATAACGGAAATCAATCATCCCTGAAATAAAAAAAAAAACTGTACATTAATGTCTATATATACCATTCTGAATAAGCATAGAGTACCTCTGTTTTTAATAGTTCGTGTTAATCTTTGGTTAATATTTTGTTTTACTCAAAAATGTGCATTCTTACTTAACTAACAGCAAGCGAATACAAGTTGCATTATTTGGTTTTGTTTTTTTTTTATTTTATTATACGAAAGATAGACTAAAATATTTTCTTTCCTTTTCACAGTGAAAGGATACCCGCCGCCATCATATAGAGCTGCAGGAAAGACTGAGCAGGTATAAATTTCAAATCTTTATATGCTAGCGGGCTCGCTTGATATTCCTACTGATAAAGTCCTAATCAAAAACAAAAACGATATTATTTTATATGTCTGTACAATATCATACCAAGCTCTTAATCGTCCCAACTCTAAAAAAAGGTTATGTAAAATTAAACAAAAACTATAAAATATCTGCCATCAACATCCTATTCCCCTCTAATAAACACATTATAGAAAAACAAAGGATATGGGGTATCCATCCATGACACAAAATCAGTACATGAACAGCAAAAAAAAAACCACACACACAATAAGCAAAGGAACAGCGCTTTTATTGCTGTTCTTCATCTCAAAGTCACAGTGAGGCCTTAAACAAGGAGCAAAAAAAAAACTCTCACCTCACTGCAAGTTTAAGACAGCCCCTGGCACCGACTTGAGCGGAATTCTTTGCAAAAACAAATTAACATACATGTATGACATAAGGTAACTAATGACGAGGCTATTCCAGTTTTTTACATGCACACATGTGTCCCGATCTGAAAAGAAACCAATAAATTCACCGTTCTAAAACTTATTCCCTTTGGTCAAATAGCTCCTAACGTGTATAGGTTTTATACAACCCTAGCTTTCAAATTTTGGAATAAGCGTTGCTGTTGGAGGTAAATTCAGAAAAGCGCTCCAAGCGCACATTATCAATAAAATTTTATTTTCATTTACAGGCAACCGCCGACGGGCTCGCTGGTATAAAGACACAAATCAACAATTTCATTGCTAAAGGTATTCCTGGAGTCCCACCAAACGCGTCCAAAATGGGAGGAGCAAGTACGGGAACAAATGCAGGAGGAACCAATGGACCCCATCACATTGAGACAAAAGTTGAAGCCAAAGCATACTAAAACTAACTCGAAATATTTTGTACATAACTTTGTTGAATATAATAAAATTAACAACAAAAAATATAATTGTTTGTTTATCTAAATAACTTTCAAAACAGTTGGACAAATGTCGTTCGTTCCATCAACATTATGTTGATCTCATTTACAATATAAAAAATCATAGATGTCTGCGTCAAAAGTAAGGGTTATTTGTAAAGATAATTTTGGTTCGTTGTCGGTCCTTTTGCAACGGAATAAGTGCATTTCCGTAATTTGGAACGAGTAGTAACAGCAAATATATTGTGTTGTCGTTGACCATACCTCTTCACTAACAAGTGTCACGGCAATGTTTGAAATTTTTTAATCTGAACGGACCATGGTAATTATCTGTTGTGATATTTTATTGTGTGTTCACAGATATCATACAAAAAGTCGTACATCAACAACAAAATTTTCACCTGAAACTTTCAAATTGCAGGCTAAGTCAAACACATGATGGCACATTATATTGATAGACATAGAAATGCATGTCGACTGGAAATGAGACTAATAATACACACTAGTAGTCTCAGATAGGAGTATTATTGGATGACACAAATATATTCAATGAAAGTGCGGAAATAAGCAACGTTGTTTTTAATTTTCTGCTCGTTATTATATTGATTAATTGATTGTTTGCTTAACGTCCAGTGGTAAATAGTTTATGCATATTTAGACAAGAACAAATTAATAATAAGTCATAAAGGTATGTTCGAAAAGTTGGTCGATCGGGTTGTAGGGCTGGAATTTTGACTGCCATTGAAATGGGGGACAGATATTTTATCTTGCAACAGGTCACCTACTAACAACTGTATTAACCGAAGCTAAATAAAAAATAACATCCACTAGTAAAAACATATGAAGGATACCACGCTTAAAATTAGGTACACTAGACGCGAGCGTTAGTCTACCTTAGACTAATCAGTGACGCTAGAATCCGGCAAAATTATATACGAAGTTGAAGAGCATTTAAAACCGAAATAATTTGGACGAACGTTTGAGGATTGACCTTTTAAGTCCATAAGTGGATCATTATTGCGTGGTTAACATTTTCTACAGTATTCTGTTCTTATATATGGTCAAAACTCAGTTAACAAAAGGAAACAGACACAGAAATTATAATAAGGAAATAAAACACAATATGCACATCAAGATCTAAAATCCTAAGATTCGTACATTAAGAATTGCAAAAGTTTAAAATGGATTTAATTTCACGGAAAGGATCTTGAATTAAAACCATACGTATAAAATAATAAAACGTGTTTCTCCATGGCCAGTTGCAAGTATTCCATGTTCAAATATTTAGTATGAATATTGTCTACGAATGCCGTTGAGAATACGATCTAAAAATGTAAAAAGTAGTTCTTACACTGTGGGACTGAACTCTTTACAGAAAGATTTATGCGAGCGACTCTGAGTGTGTTGTTTGTTTGGAGGCTTTAGGGCATACGATACAGTATTGATCCCACGGTGATTTATTTTGTATTTTGAAAGTTTGCATATAAGACATTCTTCATCTTATCAATTCAAATATATAATAAAAATTATACCTTCATGTGGTTCTTTTAGAGATAAATGGTTTCGAAATTTTAGATATTAACTGGACATGTCGGTTTCTTGGACATTTCTATCCTTTGGAAAGACACACCTAACTTTTTTTCTTTCAAAAGATTTTCATGATTTTTGTCAAAAAACGGCATGTTTTGCTGTATATCTATCTAATTCTAATAAAAAACATCGGTAATTTGTTTATCAAAGTTGGCACAAATAATCTTCATACAAAATCAAGCCAAATGTCATTTTTAAAAAAAGAGGGGTCCATGAACTCGTTTTCAAGTTAACTCAGTTTGAATGATAAAATTCAGTTGAAAAATGCATCTTTTTCTCGATATGTCACAGTTTGACGTCGCGAAAAATAAGATTTTACGTTAGAGACGTCATTACCTCCCCTGTGACTGTATCGAATGCCTTAAATCAATTGGATAACAATAATCAAGGATAACTTAACCGTGCGTTTTGTCTGATACAATCACATATTGATATCGCTGTTCATGTTGTTGCTATATAAATAATGTGAAGTAAATTTGCTAATATAAAAATGTAAAAATGTGTGATTAATATCAGAAAGTATTAGCAAGTATTTTGAGATAGCTTTTAGGACGTTCTTTGATACTTTTATAGACAAGAATCCGATGTTTGTGGTACATGTTGGTGTTATCTGTTGTTTTATAGAAAAGAATCCAATTTTTGTGGTACATGTTGGTGTTATCTGTTGTTTTATAGAAAAGAATCCGATTTTTGTGGTACTTGTTGGTGTTATCTGTTGTTTTATAGAAAAGAATCCGATGTTTGTGGTACATGTTGGTGTTATCTGTTGTTTTATAGAAAAGAATCCGATGTTTGTGGTACATGTTGGTGTTATCTGTTGTTTTATAGAAAACAATCCGATCTTTTTGGTACATGTTGGTGTTATCTGTTGTTTTATAGAAAACAATCCGATGTTCGTGGTACATGTTGGTGTTATCTGTTGTTTTATAGAAAACAATCCGATGTTCGTGGTACATGTTGGTGTTATCTGTTGTTTTATAGAAAACAATCCGATGTTTGTGGTACATGTAGGTGTTATCTGTTGTTTTATACAAAAGGACAACGAAACAAAGACAAAATAACAATGCCACGGCACAAATACGAAACATGACGAAAAGACAAACTAACAATGCCACGGCACAAATACGAAACATGACGAAAAGACAAACTAACAATGCCACGGCACAAATACGAAACATGACGAAAAGACAAACTAACAATGCCACGGCACAAATACGAAACATGACGAAAAGACAAAATAACAATGCCACGGCACAAATACGAAACATGACGAAAAGACAAACTAACAATGCCACGGCGCAAATACGAAACATGACGAAAAGACAAACTAACAATGCCACGGCACAAATACGAAACATGACGAAAAGACAAACTTACAATGCCACGGCACAAATACGAAACATGACGAAAAGACAAACTAACAATGCCACGGCACAAATACGAAACATGACGAAAAGACAAACTAACAATGCCACGGCACAAATACGAAACATGACGAAAAGACAAAATAACAATGCCACGGCACAAATACGATACATGACGAAAAGACAAACAGGTCCACCAGTAATTTCTGGTACCTTTGTTATATCAAAAATCAATACGGAGAGGACTGAGAACTTGCAAATAAGACTGTCCAAATGTGATTGTCTGCATTGAGAAAACTCGTAACAATGGTTTAACCGCACCACATTATGAGTCTTTATCAAGTCGAGTGTTCTTCGGTGTTGTGTCTTGTTTTGTACATCTATTTTTTCGGAGGACCCGGGTTTTGTTGTGATACATATATATGTAGTATTATCCAATAGTTTGAGTAATTCCTTTTATCTTTTTGTTGAGCCTGCGACATTTTGTCATGGAAGCTAGACAAACAGATCCTACATTCTGTCGGCGTCGGTAGCGTCGTCAACAATTAGGTTCAGTCTGCGGTTAACGATTTTGTTAGGCATTAATAAAATTATAACTATGTTGAATTTAATAAACTTGCGCAAAACCATTTTAATGATCAAATGATCGTTTCGACAGTAAAATCTTTGAAACCTTTTTTTTCCTTTTCCGTATTTTACTAATAAATTGACTTAAGTTTTCACAATTAACATTAAGATACAGTTTAAGGATAAAGTTTTTGAGACATCAATAACTTTGTCAAATCTTCATGGAATTTTATGAAACTTGGATATTTTCATATTCCCGTATTTTTCTGATAAAAGGACTTTGTTTTGTTTTGCAGTAAACATTTAGATACATGTGGGAGTTATTTTGTTTTAGACATCAATAACTTTATAAAACCTTCTTAGAATCATATGAAACTTTGACAGAAGCTTTTTTCCATTAATATAATAATGCGTGAATCAAAATCATCCTATAGTTTCAAGGTTTGTGTTCGTGGTCACGAGCCAGTCATATTACTCATATATCATGTATACTGATGTATTTTAATAATCGTATCTGTTTGTATTATGATGTTTCACAATTGCCCTGTTGTACTAAAGACTGCCTTTACAATTAAGGACTGTAATAAAGTATAACAAAATTACCGAACTCTAAGGCAAATTCAAAAAAGGGGGAAGTCCATAAAAATTGAAAAAAATCAAACGTTGAACTTTATGAACAAACAGAACGAATGGAAAAGAACTGTCATATTCTTCACTTAGTACAGGCATTTTCCAAAGAAAATGGTGGGTTAAACCTGGTGTTGTAGCTAGATAAACCTCCCACTTATATGACATTTGTTTATAGTTCCGTTACATTGACAAAATTAGGTGAGCAACCCCAAAAGACATAATCGGTTATTATGACAAAGGTTTGACAAAATAAAAACAACACTGTAAAAATCTTTTTCGTTCAAATTGCACCTCTGGACCCATCTGCACCAGGATCACCTAAAACCCGAAAGCTAGATACATAAATACCGAGTCATGCCAAGAGTCATACGACCAAAACGGTACATAACAGCACAGTGCCAAATAAGGGGGAAACTGTAAAGTGAATACCAAAACGATACACAACTTCAGCACATAGAATTAATGAAAAAGACATTGAATATTTATCTATCAGGTCTTGCTACATGTACTTAACGATGAACCTTTTGAAAAAAAAGGACAAGACGTTCTTTGACAAAACCCTGGCTCATTAATGTATTACCCAGACACCGATGACGTTTTACACAGTCTGAGTAACAGCTACAAGCTCTTGGATATCGTATGAGTTCTGAAATTTATACTTCATATGCGGATGAAGTTTATATATTACTGCTAAGTTGAGACAATTCATAATTTAAAAATTGAAATCGTCTGTTAGTCAAAGATTCTGATACTGAAATGGGCGTTGTATTCAAATTCGCGGTAGAGAATGGAAACGAAGAATGTGTCAAAGAGACAACAAGCCGAC